GGGTGCGCCCGCGCCCGCGAAGCGCGGCCCCACCGCCGGGGGGGCTCCCGGCTGCCGCTCCGCGGCCCGGCGGCTGCCCGCCGGAGCCCGAGGGCACCGGCGCCTCCGGCCTCCCGCCCGCCCGCCCGCCCCTCATCCCGGGCGCGGGCGCACCTTGTCGTTGTTGGCGTAGCGGAAGCCGACCACGAGGCCCTCGCCGCCCCACAGGCCCTGCTCGCTCTCGGGCGGGAAGCGCGGCACCACGGGCACGTCCTGCTGGCGGCTGCACCGCCCGGTGACCCGGTCGCGCACGAACTTGGCGCCGCGCGGTCGCCAGTGCACCGCGGGCGGCTCGGCGGCCTCGTCCTCCCGCAGCGCGCGCAGGTAGTGGGCGGGCAGCCGCGACAGCAGCCCGCACTGCAGCCTCCGCGCCCCCCACAGCCGCGGCGGCACCGCGTGCAGCGGCATGGCGGGCGCGGCGAGCCCGGAAGCGCGGCGCGGCGGCGACCTCCGCCGGAAGTGCGCAGGCGGCGGCGGCGACGTCGCGGCCCCCCCACATTCTCCCGGCGAGGCCTCGGCCAAGAAAGACGCGGGGCGGCTGAGGGCGCAGGGTCTTTAATGCGGCTCGCGGGCCGGCGCGGCGCGGCTTCCACACGGCGGGGCGGCGCGGCGCAAGCAGGGCGCGGGCTGCAGCGAGCGGACGGACGGGGGCTGCGGGAAGAGGCTGCCGCGGCTGCTCCGCAGGGCTGGCCGGCCCGCTCCCCCGCAGCCAGCCTGCCAGCAAACCGGCCGGGGCAGTGGCTCGGGCTGCCCCCGGAGCCCCCAGCCCGCCCTGCCCAGCCCGCTCGCGCGGCCTCCCTGCCCGCGGCCCCGAGCTCCTGCCGGGACACGCGAGCGCAGGGCGGCAGGCGCAGCGCCTCGTCCCGCTGGCCCCGCTCTCCCTGCTCCCAAGTTCGCCAGCAGGGCCACCGAGGGCCTCGCCCAGGACCCTCTGAAGGACTAACTGCCACCCTGCAAGCCCGCGGGGAAGACTGGTGTGATCAGCCGTCATTCCTCCCTCCCTGACGTTCCCGGGACTGCAAAATCCATCGTTTCTTGGCCACTTCAGTCCGGCACAGCGCTGGCATCCGAGGCTCCTGCACCCACACCAGCGCCACTCTAGGTCAGGGCTCCGTGCCAGACCCGTCTCCGTGAGGATGGCTCCCCCAGGATAGGATGAAAACGAGCAAGCCTTCTACGGTGGACTCAGCTCCCCGTTTTTCATCCAGTGCAACCCATCTTCTGCAAGGCCTGGCCTCCTCCTGGCCGACTGAGTGGGGCAGGGAAGTGTGGGAAGTCCTCTGGCCCACAACCCGGGAGGCGGCTGGAGGGCGGGAGCACCATCCTCACCCAGCCAGTCATGTCACTGCATAGAGTTCTTCTCGGTCATTCTTGCAAATCTGGTAGCGGGAGAGCAGCTCCCGAGACCAGGCCCAGGGCTTCTTGTGCTTGTTCCCTGGTGGCAGGAGGAAGACCACACTGCTGGCAACCAAGATGTGCCAAATGGTGTGCGTGTAGTAGTAGTTCTCTGTGGTTTCCATGAAGGCGTACACCAGGACAGCCATGAGGGCTAGGCTGATCCCGGGGAGAAGGAAGAACGCCCAGCGCTTCCACGATGGAGGGTAGCAGTGCCGCCGGTTCACACCACGATAAACCTGCGGGAGGAAGCGAGGGTTACCGGCCAGTCCAGCCGGAATGGCAGCCAGTGGTCCTGCAGGGGGCTCATGGGCTCCAGCCATGCAGTCAGAACACCAGAACCAGCGGAGGAGACTGCCAGAGGAGTCGGTGGGGCCAAGCTGGGCGTTAATGTGTTCCTTATCCTGTTTTTCAGCCTGCTCTAATTGAAGGCTGTAGGCTTGTGGCAGTGCCCAGTCAGGCATGCGGACGGTCCCGAGTTCAGTCCCAGCAGCAGCTCCTGGTAGGGCTGGGAAAGAGGCTCCACAAGACTTTGCCATGCGGTGTCAACATGCTCCTAAGGCTGGGCTCAATGTAAGGCACTGCCCTGTGTTCCTAGACTGGGCAACGTACTCGCAGAGGCACATGCCGCAACCTCTCGGTGGGCTGAGCCAGGGAATGCTCAAGTCCCCCTGCTGAGTCTCTCTCTGAGAGTCCAGGAGGCAAGGCAAGGCAAGGCAAGGCAAGGGGGGTTCGGACCCCAGCCACTTACCCAAGCTGTAGTCATGATGATGAGGGCAACCAGGCAGGGCCCCATCATGTTCCAGACCCCTCTGCGGTCCAGGTGCAGCGAAAGAGCAATGAAGAGGGTCCCCAGCACACACAGGACCTAGAGGGCAAGGCAGGCAGCTGCTGAGGGTGGCAGTGGCTCTTCTCGGGCACCACCAGCCTCCGTTTAGGGGGGAGGCAGGCAAACCGGCACCCAAAACCTCTCTGGGCTTACCGCACTGCAGCCTCCACTGAAACATGCACAGACCACCTCGCAGGCCGCACTGACCCGAGGAGGCTGGTGCACAAGGAGGGCATCCTCAGCCAGCCTCCTGGAAGCCCTGCGAGACCCCCGTCATATTAAGGGACATGAGCTGCTGCCCGGTCAGAGCTGCGCCTCGGAACACGGCTCCCCTCAAAAGGGCTCAGCCAGAGTCCGGCTCTCAATTTCCCTGGAATGAGGGATTGGCCGGAGGCACGGAAGGGCGGCTGAGGGTTCGCGTGGCTTGCATCCAATGTGTTCAAGAGCCTTCAAGAGACATGAGGCTGTTTGATCTCAGGGTTTGGACTCAACTTCCTTTAACCCCAGTATGTTTATCCCGGCTTGAAGAGGCCTTTTTGCAAATGACATGATAGTTAATAGGTCCCTCCAGGTATGTTCGCCCCCCCTCCCATCGCAACCTTTGTACTGTTTTCTGCCCCAAACGCACATATTTCAGGATCTTCTTGACTCGAGCCATGCACAAAATAGTCACCCAGATGGAGACAACAGAGCCCAGGAAGTCACAAAATTGCACTGTGTCATAATCCATGATGCACAACACAACCACGCCAGGCTGGTCACAGGCATGATAGAACTGGAGCCACAAAGGGGAAGAGAAGGAAGACAGTCAGCATACAAGCCCCCTGCTTGGAAGGAGGCCAGCAAGCTCTCCAGGCCAGGAAGGGCGCCTTCTTGGCATCTATAAAAGCGTCATGAGGCATGGCCCTCCTGCCCCATCTCTACCTGAAGGTCGACTGCTGGAGAGCTGCCCCTTATACCCCTCCCCACTGCCAGGAAGGAAGGGAAGGTATCACCGAGAATGGACACTTCAGTCCTTGCCCCCCTTCCAGGCTTCCAGCACAGCATGTGCCCCAGCGAAGAAAAAGGGAAAGAGGGACATACGGTGGAGAAGAACATGGTGAAGGTGTAAACAGACGCCTCCACCAGATGGTAGTGGTACAGGGCAGCAGCAATGGCAGGCAGGAAGAATAGGTTGCTGAGCGTGAGCAAGAGGGTGGCCAGCATCTGGCTGCCAACGGACTGGCCTTTGGTCCCATCAGTGCAGCTCCAGCCACTCCAACCTGCCAAGCCAGGAAGGAAGAGGAGGGTCAGGCCATCGCGCGTACTCCTGTGGAAGCCACATCCGCCAGCTGCTTCTCCCCCCGGGGTGGGTCGCAGTGTCCCACCCAAGTCTGTACCAGCAGGTGGCACTCTCAGGGCTCACCGGCCTTGCAGGTGCATCCGGCATACAGGTAGCCCTGGCGCCTCATCAGACTGCACTGCCCATACGTCCCACAGTCATCGAAGCAGGGACTGAGGTAGGCGAGGACCGCCACCTGGGCGTTGGCCATCTCACACTCCCTGCAGCAAGAGAAAGACCCACTGAAGGAGTGAATCGGACGCAGCCAAGAACACTGCCTCCACGGAAGCAGAGCTCACTGCTGCCAGCAGCTCAGTCAGGCCCTCTGGGCACCAGGTAAAAGGCGGCCAGGCAGGCGGAGGCCAGGCACGGGGCCTGCTCTTCCAGAGCGAGCAGGGCGCCGGAGCCGCTGCCCTCTGGAGCTTCAGCCCCTGCCGCACACGGTGCAGAGCAGCGGAGCCATGGGACTCACCCCGGGTTCTTTGGGCAGATGAGTTGCAGGGTAAGGAACCAGTAGCCGGATTCAGGGTATGGGATGGCAAGTGATGCTTGTGTAGAGGACGTGGTCACGTTCAGCAGATAACCCTGGAAGAATGCTGTGGGGCGAGAGAGGACGGAGAGGGGCATGTGTGTGTTCCCAGCTGGAACCCAGGCCAGCCACAGGAAGCCTGCCTTGTACACCTGCTCGTCTGCTTCCATGCCCGGCCCATGGGATTTGGGGGCTGTGAGAAAGGGAAGCCTCGGCAGTCGGCTCGGCATGGGGCTGGGGAGCTGCCTCCCTCCTACCTGTGCTGCAGTCCCTTGTGGCATTTGCAGAGAGCACGGGGGAAGCCAGGCTCAGGCAGGCCCAGACGGTGGCGTCCATGAGTTCTGGCAAGGTCTGCAAAGACAGAGCCAGCTGAATCCTGGGAAAAGCCCAGTGGCACCCAAGGCGGCCAGCTGCAGCCCGGGAGACAAAGCCCACCTCCCACGGGCTGCCAGGGTCCCACCATACCCTGTTGAGGAGCAGAGTCAGCACCAGAGTCCCGCCACTGTCCATGCCTGAGTTCAGGTTCAGGAGGAGAAGCGTGGGAGAACCTGCCTGGACAGGCACGTTGGACCCATCAAGAACCCGGAACTGCACAGACACAACATCCAGGTCCTCACGGATAACTGGCTGGCTGCGCAGGCACGCATGTCCTTGGCCAAGCGCGTCGTGGGCGCCGGCACCAGTAATCAGGGTGGCATTGAGCTTGCCTCCCGGCAGGGTTGTCTCCTGGCTCCGATTCAGACTGCGGTAGAAGCTCAGGAAGGAGCCAGTACCGGTCGGCTTGCAGGCTGCAGAGGAAGCGCAGACGCAATACCATCAGAGCACCCCGGAGAAGGCGGCTGCAGGACAGGCGTCTGCCAGGAGCCCGGCAAGCCCTCTGGCAGCTGGGCTCAAAGGCAGCGAGGAAGGGAAGCGCTGGGGCCCAGATCAGTGCAGGCAGCCTGGCTTTGCCTCGCCCCCTGGGCCCCTTCCTTCCCTGCCCCCGGCGGGCTCCCCCGGCCAGGAACACGAAGGTGGTGCGCACCTGTGAAGGAGGCGGCCATCTCAAGAGAGGTGCTGGTGTTGGGGCCGTGCAGGCTCTCCACGGTGATCTGCAGCCACTTCTCCCACGGGGGGGAGGCCAGGCGAAGGCTGCAGGCCCCTGTGCAGGTGAGCACCTCCTGGGAGGAGCGAGACAGCGTGGCAGAGCCCAGTGTGACACGCACAGAGCAGGCGGTGGAGCCGTTCATCACGCAGTTTCCCAGCTCCAGGCGCAGGAGAGCGCTGTATGCCGGCACGAAGACCCTGTGGAGGGAGGCAGGGCGCAGCTGCAAGGCCTGCGTGCCGAGAGGTGCCGCGCAACGGGCGGGCCTTGCTGTGGGAGCGACACGTCCCGTCGCCAGCCAGCCAGCCGCCCCCCCGTCCCGACTCACTTAGCGTGGAGCAGCCTGGTCGGCCAGGCCAGTGTCTGCCGCATGGGCACGTCGGGCTGGAGGACCGCCATGTCCGCTGCACGCAGCACAAACATGTCAGGCTGGAAGAGGTAGGTGCACGGCGCGGAGAAGCCCTGTGGGGAGCGGATGCGCACTCAGGCCTCCACCCCTCCACCAGCAAGAGCGGGGTGGGCTTCCCCGCAGCCTGGGGCCGAGCAGGAATTCTCTTGCCTCTGCCGCGTCCCGGATGCCAGGCACAGGCCCCATGCAGGGGGAGGAGGGGACAAGTAGCAGCAGACCCCTCTGCAGGGGCCCAAGAGCCCAGGGGACTCCAGCCGTGCCCCCAGCCCGGCCCTCTCTCACCTTCACACCGATCTTGCCTGTGGCCTGGGGCAGGTGCGCCGCGATGAACCAGTCGCCTGGGGCAGGACTGGTCAGGTTGACGAAGGTGCTGTTCTGCGTGGCAGTGGCCAGCGCCAGGCTCTGGTTGTAGGAGAGCCGCACGCTGGTATTCGTAGGGAACTGTGTGCCCAGAGGATTGATGACGGGGGGAGCTCCGTGGCGGATGTGGCTGGAAGGCAGCAAGACACACGCGGCAGGTCAAGGGCCGCTGCTGCCCCCAGAAGCCCCCTGGCTCAAGGCCCGAGGCCAGGGAGCAGTCCCCTCACGGGGGGCGGGGTGCCGAGAGATACGCACAAGGTGACTTGAGTGCTGCCACACTCGGGGCCTCTTCCTCGGGAAGCCTGCAGAAGCCAGCGCAGCAGGACCGTGTCCTCCGGCACACGGAAGCGGAAGACTTTGGCATTTCCATACCACGTGTAGAAGGAGAGCTTCTGGGAGCTCTGGGAGAAGTACTCGGAGACAAAGGTCAGGTCTGGAAGGAGAGGAGAGGAGCACCGGGAGGGCCTCAAGCAGTGGGGCAGCATCCGTCCACCCTCCTGCGGCAGTCTGCCCTCTGAGAGCCGTTTCGTCGGCGACACGCGTGGAAGGGCAGCAGTAGGTGTGCCCCGCGGAGGGCCAGGCAGGGCCAGAGGTCTGCGAAGGTGCCCATCCAGGCGCCTCCTCCCAGGCAAGGCTGAGTCTCGGTTGTGTACTTTGGCATCGCCACTCACACGGACTGGCATTTCCAGAATGGGCTGAGCAGGCAAACCCACAGGCTTGGCCTTCACAGGCAGGACGTGACCGCTGCTTGTTTGCTAAGCACATCCCCCCCAGTGGCTGCCAAGCAGCGGCTGGCACAGGAGCTCTCCGAGTGGCCCGGCAGGTGAGGCGTCCCTCACCGCCGACACGAGCCACCCCGACTGCATTGCTCCGTGGCACCTGCCCTGGGACACTCACAGCACAAGCAGGCGAGGGGCCACGGAAAGGGCTCTTCACGAGGAAAGGAACCGGCTCTGCGGCCAAGATGCCGCAGGCCTTGCACTCCTGCAGGATGGCCTCTGCAAGCTCAAACACCCGGGGGGGGCACGGGGGGGTAGAAAAGTCCCCCACAGGAGTAGCGGGGGTAAAGGTCACCTTTACACACACAGAGGGAATGCTGAAAGGCTGACCAGTGGCAGGCCTGGCTGGGGTCCTGCCCGACCGGCTCAACCATGAAGCACTCGTCTCCCTGCTCTGGCTTAGCGGCCGATGAGGAAGTTGTGGCACCATCTGCCCCATCCAGCAGCCGCACCTCCCAAGGCAGCACAAAGTGCAGGAACTGGAAGCGCTGGCCAAGGAGCCAGAAGCCGGCCAGCCAGGACAACCAAACAGTCCGGGTTCTCCACCATCGCTGCCCTGTGGGCTTATGCCAAGCACTCTCTGCCCCAGGGGTATGAACAAGCAAGCCGCCTGGTGGCCACTCTTTCACCCAGATAGCCCACCCCTCCCCTCCCCTCCCCTCCCCTCCCCCCCCCTCCCCCCCCCCAGGCAAGAGCACTTTCCCTTGCAGCCCTGACTGCCAACCACAGCAGTGGCTCCTGGCCATTCTCCCAAGGGTGGGAGCCGGTCTGACAGGAACCCCACGACCGGCCTGGGGGGGGGGGGCAGGGTGGAGGTTGGCTGCTGCCTGAGGTGGGGCAGCCACGGAAGGGGTGCAAGGCTAGGCGGGGGACCCTCGTGTGCCCGGGAGGTGCCGGCAGCCACCCCACGACCTTGCCGGTTCCCCAGGAGCCTCCCTGGCGTGGCCCTCGGGCTCCTCCTGAGCTGCGGGGGCGGCACCTGCGGGGGCTTCCGCCACCCTGCCGGCCGACCAAGGCTGTGACAGCCCGCGCCCGCCGCTGGCTTGGGAGCGTCTCCGGGGCAGACAGGGGCAGGCCACGTTCCGCCAGCCGCTGGCCTGGGGAGCAAAGGCAGCCCTAGCCTCTGGGGCCAGGGCGAGCAAGCGCCGAAGCAGCGCGCCTCTGCGCGTACGTGGAGTGCTCCTCGCTCACCCTGGCGGGGCCCGCACGCGGCGGCGGACGAGGGGGAGCGGGGGGGGGCTGCCTGCGACTCACCGTCGGTACTCCTCGGCGTCGCCTGCCTGGCGGGGGGCGGCGGGGGCAGGGCGCGGGCCGCGGCCAGGAGGAGGGCCAGCAGGAAGTGCGGGCGGCCGCCCAGCGCGGGCCGAGCCATAGCGGGCCGGGGCCAGCGGCCTCGCTCACGGCAGAGCCGCCATCGCGGCCGCCTCGCTCCCTCTCCGGCCGGCACTGGACGGACCGGGCCGGCCCGGCCCGGGGCGCCGACGTCACTGGCGGGGAGGGACGCGGGAGCGGCGGTTGGGCGCGCGGCCCGCCTCGGGCGCCGCTCGGCCGG